CCTGCCACCTCGGGCGACACCTGCGCCTCTTCTTCCCCGGCAGCCTCTGCCGGGGTCGCCGCCTCCGCCCTTTCGGCCTCCCCCGCCCCAGGGCCTCCGGGGCTGGCCTCCGAGCCTCCGCGCCAACCGGCCCCTGCCTCTCCCGTGCAGGGGCGCAAGGGCGCTTCTGTCCCCATGGCCCCCTTCTGCCCCGGGGCCGGCTCCTCGCCCCCCAAAGCCGCCTCCTCGGAACCCTCCTCCGTCGCGGACGCCGCGTCCTCCAGGGGCCCCGTGTCCTCCAGGTCTGTGGACGTGTCCTCTTCGCTCTCCACGTCACTCTCAGCCTCCCCTCCTTCAGCCGCCCCCGTCTCCAGCCTCGCCGCCTCCCCCGGGGTCTCCCGAAGCCCCCCGGAGACCAGGGCCGCGGCCTTTTCCGAGCCCTGCGCCCCTTCGTGAGCGGCCTTCTCTGCCCCGGCCACGGTCAGCACCAAGGCCAGCTCCCTCGGCGCCTCGTCTTGGTTCCGAGCCGCGGAGTCGCCGGCGGCCGCCGGCCCTGCGGGGTCTGACGCCTCCCCAGCCAGCCTTCCAGCCCCTTCTGCCTCCGCCCCGCTCAGCCTCCCCTCTGCGATCTGCTCTGCCGCCTCTGGCTGCTCGGCTGCTTCACCTTCCCTGGGTGCTTCTTCCTTTGCCAGCTTGCACACGCCTTGGGCCAGTGGCTTGGTCGCGGAGCTGGGGTCGAGGGCGGCCCGTTCCCCCACCGCTAAATTCTTGTGTGGTGCTATAAAAAGAAGGCGAGAAAACAAGGCTGCTGTAACCCAGGTGGGCAAGGGAGAGGATATTATACACTTCAAGAATATATACTTGTAATATAGATATTTATATATAATATCAAGGAGCCATTGCACCACATATAAAAAGGGTTTTTCCACTGGCTCCATGATGCCGTCAACTATAGCAGACACCGTGATTTCACAATGGCCTTTTACTATAAAAAGAAATGCTTTCAGCCGTTGCTTTGCTAAGCTCTGGTCTGGTCATGTGACTCTTTGAGCTATGGCTACCATGTTCTCCTAAGCTCTGGCCCCCTCTCTTACCTTCCTCTCTCTCCCTTTCGCTCTCTGTTTGTAAATAGACTATATTTTTCAATCTAAAAAATAAATGCTTTCAAATCAAATGGAAACATTGATATTAAAGGAAAGGTGAACATCAGCAATGTTGAAAATAAGCAACAAAAACCATGTCCTCATGTCTTTTCTTAGAATCAGTTAAATCTCTCTCTCTCTCTCTCTCTCTCTCTCTCTCTCTCTCTTTCTCATTCCCCTTCTCTCTCACACACACATACATCTGCCACTTTCACCTAAAATGTTAAGACTTTCAGGAAAATTATGCAATAAGAAAAACAGTGAGTATTTCATCTTCTTTTTTTTTTAATAAATTTTATTTATTTATTTATTTATTTATTTATTTATTGAGTTGGAGTCTCACTCTGTCGCCCAGACTGGAGTGCAGTGGCCGCTCCCGGCCACCGCAGCCTCGACCTGCTGGGCTCCGGCGATCCTTCCGCCTCAGCCTCCCAAAGGTGGGGGATTACAGGCTGAGCCACCGAGCCTGGCTTCATCTTCTTAGAAAGTATTATTCCCTATAGCACCATAATATGTCTGCTGCCTGTTTCTGGTACTCATGTGGGAATTCAGCAAGACAGTCATAATACTATGTAAGCTGATTGTTATCATGGCCATCTTGTAAGCTATTCTATCTAGATCTGGTCATCAAAAAATTTGGTAACGAAAGGTAAGACTTTTTATAAAGACGCCCATTTGTATTACAGGTCAGGATACTTCCCACCTGCATTCAGAAACTGATTTGCCTTTGGCAAAATAGGATCACAGAGCAAGACAGACTTTGTAAAATGGGACAAATTTCAACATAAATCATCTTTTTGAAGTATTTTATAAGTTTTGATCCATGATTCCCAGGGAAATCTGGGTATACTAGCTATCACAAGTCAATAAATATAGGTTTGATATGTTTTGTAAAGACTTCAAATGGATTTCTTATTATTTAACAAAGACATGTTTTTTGAATGATCCATGAAAATAAGCAAAGAAAGGCATGTCATGTCAAGTCCCCAAAGTGTTTAAATTTCCCGGCTGCAGAATAATACTTCGGGAGATAAGGGCTTGGAAAATTATCATCTTAATAATTCTTAGCCATCGAACATTTTCCATTTATAAAAGACACTGGACTAGATGCTATCAAATAAGTTATTATACCAGGGTGTCAACCTCTAAATCTTGTAAACTTATGAAGTAGGCAAATGTGCCTCTCACCTTTTTAACTTGCTGTTGGTTAGTCATCTTACCCTGAACACCATTACCAACAATCTACCAGAAGTCTACAGCCCTAATCTTACTTTCCCCCTATTCTTGTATCTCACCCAAGACTGTCTTACCATATCCTTTTCTTTCTTTTTATTTTTTTTGAGTTAGAGTCTCACTCAGTCGCCCAGACTGGAGTGCAGTGGCCACTCCCGGCCACCGCAGCCTCGACCTGCTGGGCTCCGGCGATCCTTCCTCCTCAGCCTTTCGAGTAGCCGGAATTACAGGCATGCGCTACCACGCCCAGCTGATTTTTTGATTTATTGTAGAGATGAGGTCTTGCTGCCCAGGCGGGTCTCGAACGTGCGGGCTCAGGCAATCCACTCACCTCAGCCTCCCAAAGGCGCGGGATTACAGGCTGAGCCACCAAGCCCGGCTATCCTTTCCTTTCTTAACACCAAACTTGGTTACCCTTAGTTGTGTTCCCTTGGTCTTTTGCCAGCTACCATGATAAAACATTTTTAGGTAAGGCAGTAATAGTTGATATATTTCCCTTAAAAATGTATTCAGAAGGTATTTTATGATGCTTTCAACGGGGTGAAATAGAAACTTCAGGTTGTCAATATGGCTGAGGCTGACTTCTATATGTCATCTGTGTATCATAGCACTTACTTCCTAGGTGTACCTAAAATCTCCCAAAGAAGAATGTAGAATCAAATGTTTGCTCAGAGAACTCGCAGCTGATTCACCTGAGAGAATATGGTCCATTTAATTTCATTACAAATATCACTGGGTTTAAAACAAAATTAAATTGAAACAATGAGAAACAACGTGAGTAGAGTCTCTTTCGTGGAATATCTGTTGCCAATCAAATTCCTGCATGAAGTTATATGAAAAAGTCAGATATGAAAATAATTTAAATAAATTCCCTAACTATATCGATTAGCTAAAGAATACTCAGAAAAACAGGGGAATAAAATTGCCTAGCCACAATGTCATAATACACCATGCCTAAATTCTAGGATAGAAAATTCTAATGGCATCCAGCTGAGCTATTATATGAACACACACACACACACACACACACACACACACACACAATGGGGAGTCAGACATGACATTCCTAAAGAAAGGGAGAAAGAGTGATTGAAACCTTCCTAAGAAATATCAGTATGAAAACATGACATACTGCTTGATGGCAACCTCATGGGCTTTTGAAAAAAACGTTAAAAATAAAAGAACAAACAATACTCACAAGCAGCAACAATTTGCTTTAATAGAATCAGTGTGCACCTAAAGGTAAGACCCACCTCGGTGAAAACGCCAGCTCTGGCACTTATTAGGTGTATGGACTTGAGAAATAACACCTCTCCGAGCCTTCGTTTTCTTATCCATCAAATGAGAATCACAGTGCTGGACCCACAGAATCCTTGTGATGGTGAATAGGGTGGTTTATGTAAAATGTTTAGCACAGTGCCTGGCATAAAGGAAGCCCTAACTCATCTTCCTTCTGTATGCTCCTTCTGCTACTTACAACTAGTGAATGTTCTTGTTTGAATTAGATATGATCAACAATAACTTCTACTGTGCCTGTGCTGTAGAATGAATGTCTGGGGATGTGCACTAAAATTCCTTTGGTTGAATCCCCACTGTAAAATATTGGGGTTCTGCAAGCTCAGGGTCCCTCTTCTGTAACTCAGCCCACTGCATATTCTAGTGTTACCTGCATCTTTTCATGTTGCCAAGAGAGAACTGGAGTTCAGAGGACCAGCATAAACACAGATCCTCTGGCTACTGCTATTTGCTGTGAAGACCTTTTCCTCTGACCCAGGAGTCCTGTGTCTTCTGCCAGCATCCATAAAACTGTGGCTGGCTAGACTGTTTGCTTGAAAGTAGTGTCAAATCTAAAATGCCTCACAGGATTTGATGACTATCAATACCAAGTGAAGGTGGGGTATTATGACCACATGATGAATAAAATTAAATACTCATACCCCCCCCCACACACACACATATCAGGACATTTTCAAGAAAGTCATTCACTAAATAGGGGGCAGCCTGATTTTAAGGACATAGGAATTTGACCAAATATGTATGAGCTAGGGTCTGTTGGATCACTGTCAGTGGCCTCTTGCAGAAGGATTATTTACCATCAAGAGCCAGGTCACATGCTGATGGCAATGAATTCTTTCCTAATTGGGAAAAAAAAAAAAAAAGGATGCTCAAAGGAATCATTGTGAAATAGGCATTGGCTCTTGATGTCCCCAAATGGGTCAGTTAAGGCAAATTCGCCGACCTGGTCAAGTAACTGGGAGGCAGGTTATGAAATAATATTGATTTGAAAATCACTACCCGTATTTTATAATCTAAAGCCTCATCTTTTTTCTTTTTTTTTTGAGTTGGAGTCTCACTCTGTCGCCCAGACTGGATTGCAGTGGCCGCTCCCTGCCACTGCAGCCTCAACCTGCTGGGCTCTGGCGATCCTTCCACCTCAGCCTTCCAAGTAGCCGGAATACTGGCACGTGCTCCCACGCCCGGCTGATTTTTGATTTACTGTAGAGATGAGGTCTTGCCAAGTGGCCCAGGCGAGTCTCGAACCCGCGGGCTCAGGCAATTCACTCACCTCAGCCTCCCAAAGCGCGGGATTACAGGCTGAGCCTGTACCGGCTAGTCTCATCTTTTTTAACATAGGTACCAATCTATCTGAAAAAGGATAATAACATTCATACCTGATGTTAATTTTAAAGCTCCCCTTAGGGCCTGTCAACCACTTCCCGCCATGATATTCATGAGTTGAAAAGAAAAAGAAGATGACAGAAGGAAGAAACAAAGCTAGGAAGACCAAAGACAGACACAGGCTGTCTTCTGTAGAGGATCACTGAAGGTCTCTCCCAGGTAATAACGTGCCCTTACCTCCACCTGTGTCAATCTGCAGCTCCCTCAAGGGCTTCCCCTGCTCATCTGTGCTGCAGACACCAGACTCCGTGTCAGAGTGGCAATGGCAGCCCGATGCCAAGGTGTCAGTTATTATCTGTCCAACTGATTGGAGATCATACAAAACATCAAAGGTATAAAAACAGGTCACGGGAACATTGCTGAGTTATTTTACATCATTTAAACAAATGGGGTCAGTTTAAAAGCATTCACATTAAAAAGCGACCTTGCTTTTAAAAATCACTTAAGAATACACAATTCCTAAGCCATGATTTCAGAAAGAAAACACAAGACAGAAGAAGATCAGGCAGTAAAGAAATCCATGCAAAGAAAGACTTGCATTTAAAAACGATAACAACCAGAAGCAGTGACAGATTTGCCAAATGCACATGCAATGGAATGATTGAAAAAGCAGTTTAGTTGCCTAGAAATGTGTGTTATGGCTTTTATGACACCAATCATCACTGCTCTTTTAAATTGCTAAAACTCCTAGAGCTGGCTGTGCTATGAGCATTGCATGCATTAGTAGATTTTAGTGATTTGACCCCAATCCTCACTCCATGTAGACAGACGCAAAAAAGCTATTACACGATTCCTATAAATTTGACAGCAAAAAGCTGGTGTAGAAATTCTCGTTATCTGTAGCTGATTACTGGCATGGACTTTAGGACCACAGAGACCCAAGTTCAAGTCGCATATTCCATACTAACTGTATCACTTTGGACAAGCTCTTTGGCCTAAGCTTACGCCTCAGTTTATTCGACTGTCAAAAAGAGGTGTCTATTCAATAGGTCTTGGGAGGATTAAGTGTAGACGTATATTTTGAGCATGCTTATCTTCCGCTTATTGGCAAGAGCTCATGCACTTCGTAGATCATGGCTATGATGCTGAAAACGATGATGATGATAAACGTCATCACCCAAGGCAGTACGAGTCCAGGCAAAAACTGTAAAGTTAGTTAAGCTTGTAAGTTAATTTAGTTTCTGACAATTCCCGGTCTACATCCCTTATCATCAGCCGATGACCCATGTTGCTAAAGCCCTGGCATCTACCATTATGCCACCTCCTGGTCAACAAAAGTACATTCAAATAACACTAGGCCTATATTTGTCTTCTGAAATAAGAACACAGTATTTCCAAAACTTACTTATTTCTTTCCTTCCTTCCTTCCCACCCTCCCTCCTTCCTTCCTTTGTCCTCCCCTAATAATCTTTTTTTTAATCATTCAAATTCAAATAAGATCCCCTAATATTCTGATACAGCTGATCCAAATTCTTTACTTGGAGAAAAACAGAACTAGAATGAAGTCTCTTGCTTAGTTTAAGGTGGATTGCTCAGGGGTAAGTACTTACTGATGATCCCTCTCTGTTTGTAACAAATACTGGTGTACCTTCCTCAAGTGGGATTTGGGGGGGACATGATGACTTAACTACATTAATCTTAAGAGGACAAACACAGAAGCGAAAAGAGGGGCGCCACATCGTGCAAATGCATCTTCTTTTAAATCTTTGAACATCATCTTTCCTCATTGATCCAATGCACCAAATAAAACGATCTTTACAATAACATCGTTTAAAATGACATCAACTCATGACAGTTATGTAATAATTGGATTTGCTATCAAGTCAGTCTTTATTTTATGAACTTTATAGACGTAGTACACATGAGTTAAATATCATCTTACCTGCAATGATAATGTCAATACTATATATCTAGAGAGCCAAATAAGCAATGTTTTATTTTTTGCACATAAATCTGTTTGGCTTTGTTTCATCAGTGTTAACAAGATATTTAGATTTTCTCAGTAGTCTACAGTCTCTAAAGAAATGTGGTCTACAAGAATAATACTACTAATAATAATTAAATAATTAGCAGCTATGAAACCAAAAGACTAGTCTAGGGAGTCAAACTATACCAGCACAACCTGAAGACCACAACTCACTCAGAAACGGTAGAGAGGCTGGTCATCCTTCTGCCTCGGGGCTGTCATCACCATCTGCCCACACCTGTCAGCCTGCCCTGGAGGTTTAGGCTTTGGAAGTAGTTGCCTGTCTGTATATTAGGCATGACCTGTTTCAGGGTCTGCAAGAATGGGGCCTCAGCGTAAGGATCAAGGACTTACGAGGTGTGAGACCAGAAAAGGCTTCCCCCGGCCATGTTTTCTCAGCTGTTCTTCTGAAACTGAAACTTAAAAGCAAGAACAGGGCCAGAGTCTAACCCCAGCTGTGTTCCACCCACAGCGAAAGAGGACTGTGCTGAGACTCCCTTTCAGCTTGTGACATGGCACTGCGTGTCTTGTGTGTGTTCAGGCTTCATTCCCAAGGGCCCTTTCCTCACCTCTCTAGGAGGTGACCACTAAAGGCAAAGGTAGTCATCGGTTCTCACAGCATGCGTAGCAAAGTGGAAGAGTCGCAAACAGAGATTTCTTAGAAAAATCACCTTTTCCCATTCAAATGATGTAAGATACTTGAAGGTACTTTTTAAAAATGCCAACATGTTCTTACGTTACAATGTTGGCTTTTTTGTTAAGAAAACAAACTGTTTTTCAAGAATATGCATTGTACTTTCTGTAAATATGAAAATAGTATGTGTGTGTGTGTGTGTGTGTGTGTGTGTGTGTGTGTGTGTGTGTGTGTGTGTGTGTGTGTGTGTATGATCGAAAGCTTGAAAAAAATTAAAAAGTACAAAGAGGAAATAATAATTGCCCAAAGCTTCGCCACTCAAGTGCAACTACTAATTAACATTTGGGTGAATCTCCAAAGTATCTTTTTACTCTACTTTTACTACAGATAGCATTTTATATCCCACTTTATCCACTAAACAATGTTTTGTGACTACTTCTCCATATCATTAAATAAAAATGATTCTTCAATAACATAAAATGTTATAAATACCACTTACAGCAATTTTTAACATATTAATGACTATTTCTTTAGGATAAATCCCTGGCACAGGAATTGCTGTGTCAAAAAGCATGAACTTTTTAGAAGTTTTTTTATCTGTTTCCAGGTGTCCTTCAAAAAATGAGGTCTCAATTAAAAATTTCATTAGTAATAATGGAAAGACCTGTTTCTCTGCACTAATAACACAATTTCCACCAATTCTTTTTGCATTTGGTAATTTAGTAATTGAAAAGCGGTGGCGAGAATAGAGCTATCAATCTTAGGGGTTCCTTCTGTGAACATCCTGCTGTACAATATACATTCTTCTTATGTTATGGTGTTTGCCTTTTACTTACTGATTTGTAAGAACTCTTTATATATTGAAAACATCAATCCTTTGTCATATACATGCTACAAATTTTTCTCCAGAGTTTTGGTATTCTATACTGTTATTGTTGTTGCTTGTATCGTATTAATAAATCATTTCATATGATACTAAGTTTTTTTTTAATCCCAAAATCTCTTTAGTATTTAGAGACATTCTATATTAAATTTCAAATTTATTCTGAAAAGAATGATCAGCATCTTTATATTTAGTTTGCTATTCAAATAATTGGAGTTATTTCCCATTTGTCATATTTTCATCTGTTTTGTGTGAAATATCGTATTTTTCTTATTCATTCCATATGCTTTTCTCACTTATATAGCCCTTGAAGTATGACTGTATGCATTTCTCTATTGTTGTGTATTATTGTTGTTGTTGCTGTTATAGTTTGAGTTGGGTTGTTGTTTGAGGCTATAGTTTAAATTCGGTCACTTTACAAACACCACTTCTTGGTTCCAAAAATTGCACAGTTAATTATCTAGGGAGCTGAATTTTTTTCTTAGACTTGAGAATTATTTAAAGTACTTCTTTTAAATCTCCACTTTTTTGGTGAGAGTTAATTCTATTTTGTGAGTGATGTCTAGTTTTATTGCACTGTTATCATGGGATGAAGATTCAACAACTTCTGTTCTATGGTGCTAGAAATAAAGACACAAAGATAAGTATCTGCTAAATCAATCTTCTAAATTATATCAATCTATTTTTCTATGTCCTTATTTATTATGAAATGAGTAGATGTTTATGTATACATAAAAATGAGAGTTGTTAGTTTGTATTTTCCTTTGGGAGAGAGTGTTAGCTTCTCAAGTGCTCTGAACTCCCTTGGGATGCAGACATTCCTCACAAAAGCTAAGCTCGAGTAGTTCCCAACTCCGATTCTGAGACCTCAAGGCTGGAGGAAAAAGGGAAAGCCGGTGGGACTTGGAAACCTCTTAGAGAAACTTGATTCTGTGTGTCACTTCCCTATGGTTGCACAAGCTGCAGCCGTGGT